CAAACATAAATACTTGACATTGCATTTACATAGTTGGAAAGATGACGCACAACCCGCTGATAAATGCAATCGAGCAGAGTTGTGAATGAATGAAGAAGTGAATGGAATAAATTCACTGTTCTTATTGAGCGTCAGGTAGCTGTCATATTTTTCACTTTATTAAAACTTAGAAAATGCATGTGAAGTTACAATTCAGTGTAAAAAAAATGGTCACTGTGAGCCATTATCCTGACCTCAATCATTTTGCATACTTAACATTTCCTCAAACATTATTCCAGTTCGTGTCTCTGTAATGGTGGAGCACGTTAAACCTTTCTCTGAGCACACAAATGGCTGGTGACCATACACTAACCGAACTGAGTCGAATGCACATGAAGGTTAAACTCAAAGACAATATTTAACATGAATGAAAACAGGCATAGTGACAATGAAATTCAAAGAGGGACTGAAGGCAGACAATTTAATGAAGACTCTGCCCAACTGTCTATTTCGTGCACTCTATGTAGACGGACAAGGATAAAAGTACTTTATCAAACTGCCCCCCCCATCCTTTTTTCTCGTTGCAGGGGATGCAGACACTCCAAATTGTGTGCGTTTAGTACGAGGAGGATTTGGTCAAAGATTTCAAGGCCTCCAGATGAAAAGAAGAATGCCAGCACTTAAGATGATTTGTGTTCAACCATGTAGAATCGATACATGACACCAACAACCACTGCACCAATAGCAGGTATCAACCACATGGTCCAGGAGCTGCGAGCAAAAAATTATATATTCAATATCATATTTTTTAAGCCATTACATATGTTTATGGCTCAACGCTTTTTTAAATCAACATATACTTCATACAAATTAAAATAATTCAAAAGAAAAAAGGTCAATAATAACAGATAACAGAAATCTGTGAAAATTGCATAAAACACTATTTCAGTTGTGTGTGTGTTTTTTGTTTGTCTGTTACATATGTCATACACATACAGAAAGTTGTGTGCACTTTATCCCAGACAGCAGCACTTTTTTCCGGTGTGCGTGCTCACAAACGTGAAAACTGTAACGAGTCTGACGCATGTTGTTCATGATGATGACTCACCTGGACTCTCCACAATTTGCTTCATTTTCCACCTGTAGCAGAAAAGAATCAATGAAAACTTTTAGACACAAACCATGAGCTTTATATCGTTGTTACAAATTCTGTTATAGGGATTTTCTAGCATTTATAAAGAGACAGTTAAAAAGACAATGGGTCTTACCTTAGCAGGCTCCTTTTTCCTGTCGTCCTACAAATACATTTAACAAATTAGTATTTCTTCATGTGATGTCTGACACACAAGAGATACAAGAAAAGAAATTAAGTCTGTTTCTCAGATAGTCCACAGTTAAAATGAATTTGTATGTATTACCACATTAACAAGGTTATAACAACCACACCTCTTGTTGATAGTAATGTAATCATGATCAGTGTCACATGACTATCACTGACACAAGTGTGACAATCCAAATTTCATTCAGCGATTGAGATTTGAGAAAAAGGGTAGTGGGTAAAAGCACTAGGAAACTAAACCATAAATTCCTTTGGGGAAGTTAAATCCACTGAATGTATAACGATGATTTGAATGTGTTGTGGTTTTATGTGTTGCCTAACAAAGGCAGACAAGACAACCTGCTGAAAAGATGCAAAAATCAGTCCCCAGATTCCATTTTCAGGAGCCCTATGATTTTTGTTAACTGATTTTGTCATTGATAAACACAAAGAAAACAGCACCATGAAACTTTGGTGACAATAGTAATATTTCTCACATGTTAAAACTAAAGACACTGTATTATAATTTTAAACAGTATTTCCTTCTTGTGATACAATTTGATCTTGAAAATGACTTAAGAAGACAAGGTAAGATTTTACTTCATGGTTAAAATAATAAATCACACATTTTTAAAGTGTAAAACTAACTTTTTTGAAAGGGCAATTTTCTGTTTTCTTATCTGTCTTGCTGTAGGATGGGACAGGTTAATTTTTTTACAAATGCTCTGAACACTCGGGACAGAGTAATTAAATCACTTGTGTTGCTGTGCAGTGTTAAAATCTATCTTAAATTAACCTTTGTGTTTCCTTGCTTAACTTCAGTAGAGAGATAGGGACACAAAGAGTACGTATTATTCAAAAAAGACTGACTTCAGAAAACATCATATAATGCTATGATGATGTCTGTCTATATAATGTGTGTAAGTGTGCATGTATGTTATATTTTCTAAGGGTGTGTCTGAACTTGTTAATGATATGCAACGTTTTTCTTTTGTGTGAAAAAGTTCTTACATTCTGGTTTTGAGTCCTCTGAAAGGGGAAAAAAGGCAAAGACTGAGCAGGACTTATGAGAGGCATTTACAAAAAAGTTATTTAAAAATGGCTTCAGTTTTTAGCAGTTAGGTAACAAAAATGTGGGAACAGAACTAATGGCCATGGGACAACTGTGTTTGAATGGTGTTACAAACCAGTTTTCTATTTGGTTTGATGTCAACCCCACAATTTGGTAATGACTGTTTAAAATCCAAATTATTTCATGGAACTATCTTGTGACTCCAAGCCACTTTTTCATGTTAGTCACCCTTTACTCCTAGAGATCTGGTGAAACTGATGAATTATTCTGCTTGATTAACATAGATTTAAGCAACGACTATGACTTATACTCATGTGTTTTACAGTTGTGTTGCCTTCATTTATACCGAGACAGGAAACCAAGTCATTTCTTCTTACCATATGAACCTCCCCGACTAAGTACTGCTCGAGCATCTCCCTCGCATCTGTGGAATGACCCACATCTTCGAAGCTTTCTGTGGCGTCTGAACCTGCCTGCTCCAGTAAGACCTCCTCACCTCCTGGATGCTGAAATAGAGTGTTTAGCTTATTAATTATCCTTTTTTATCCCATGCTCACAGTGATACGGTTCATGTTCATGCTTGATTAAGTTAAAAGCAATGAAAACTCCAGAGCTGAAATCACATGCTTACCAAACCAAGCTTAAAAATGTCTTTGGGGTTAATGAAGTTATATTATATTGAAAACCAGCAATGATCAGAAAATAACTAAATACAGGGTTTCCCGCAGCGCCTTATAGTTAAGGCGGCCGCCTTGACAACAAAGGCCCACGACGACTTAGTTCTCTTCTTCCCCTCTCTCTCTCTCTTCTCCCCCCCACCCCCCGCCTTTCAACTAAATTGTATAAATTGTTGTTTTCTTTACCATAGAATGGGCCCTTTATATCTGAAAACTTTATATCTATATGGAGGGGGGTCCTCTTTGTGGAGGCCGACATTGGGGGTGAAATGAGGAGCGTTCAGCTGCAACATGAAACCTCACTGGTAGATATCACTAAATTCTTCACTCTGAACCTTTAAGATTGTGGTTTTAATCTCCTGTATGGGCAGAAATGACAAACACTTGTTACACAGCAAAATGTTTTATAAATCTGAGAAAGATCAGTTATGTATTATACATCCTCACTGTGCACAAGGCATACTATTGATATATTGGTCTTTCTGCAATTGATTAATATTGAAACAACTACTTATATTGTCCTGTATGGCAGTTTATCTACACTGCATTTTACAGCTAAAGTTAGTGTTTGTTTTGCAGATTGTGATCTTACATGCAAAACATCTATCAATACAGCACGTGTTCTTTGGCTAAAACATCAACACCCCCCCCCAAAAAAAAACCAGTTGTACAAGCAGCTGTATTACAACATTACAAACATGCTTGAGGATATGCTAATCCGATTACATGTGTAATGCTGTTGAGACTCTGGGAGGGGCCGGTACATTATTGAGGATTACACGTCCATAAACTTCCTTTTAAAAGTGGTTTCGTAAGTTTTGATTAAATAAAAGGTAAACAGAACAGAATACTTATTAGAGCAATGTGTTAGCAGAGTTAGCTTAGCTAGGATTGACCTATGAAACAGGATCACCGACACGCAACGTTCACAGCTCGTTGAAGTTTCTGTTAAAAGCTATTCTCTGCAGATGAACATGGTGAATAACTACTTAGTTAACTAGTTATTATCTAACACTGACTAACTTAAAGATAGCTAGTTTGTTGTCGCTATACGATTAAGCCGTGTGTCGCTTTCACCCCGAGGTCAATTACGATCAGGTCTTTCTCACCGACGGACTTTAGATGCTTGACAGTCCGTAAACGTTACACGTCAACATGTGACGCAAACGATACGTCTCATCTCCAGGAAGTAGTCTTAGCCAAACGAAGCAGTAATGACGTTAAATCACCCGAACTGTTGACAGCATCAATGGATGAGTTGTTGAGAGGGTGTCTTACCTCTTCAAGGAAACTTGTGATGTCGTATACTTTATCGTGGATGATGAGCCATGTGTCACTGCTCATGTTGTGCTCTCTTATTTCCTCTAACGTGTGATATTTGACATCGCTGCCCACTGTTTCGCCGTTCACTTCCGCGTTGCTGTTACTTGCACACCCGTTGCTCTCGTTGATGGTGTTGTCGTTTATTTCCTCACCCATTTTAACGTGGATTCGAATTACCTGCGACCGCTGAGCAGCTGCTAGCTACCTTTAGCTTCTGTTAGCCCCGGGTACGGATCGGATGGATGCGGCGCTAGCTAGCCTCGTTTCCAGTTTCACCGTGTGTGAGTAAAAGCTGGCGGTGGCAACAAATCCCCTAATGACCCGGCAGTAAAGAGGGGACATAAACAGCGGTGTTACGAAAGAAATCTCCCCTTTAAACTCGGTACATCGGCAGACATGTGAAACCGACCAATAACGTGCTTGTTTTGTTACCACAAAGCGCACACACGACAACTGACCAATGAGAATGTGCCCTTCAGAGTGGTGACCAATCAGAATCGACCACTTGATGATCACGAGACGTTTGTCAACTGTTCTTCTGGGTTTTTGCAGACTGGATGTCCCGTGGCTCGTTGCTGCCGCCCCAGGTGGGAAATAGACTGCAGTTCTGAGTGGTTTTATTTCCACTGGTGAACATCCTGTGAATTCAAGGATTGTTCTCACAATCAGTGATAGAGAATCAACTGATTCTCACTGGGATTTTACAGGCTCTCGTGCCCAGGCGTGATATCTTAGTAAAAATAATTTCTCTCTCTCTTCATGTTATATCTATAACTCTATTTATTTGTTTTTGTTTCTGTTTTTGACTGTATGAGGCGTCAAAACTTATAAGGTTACCAATCAAATTAAATATGTGTGTTAAGGTGAGGCGTTATAAGATAACACAAGCATCATCCTTCATCGTTTTGATACTCAGACGCACACACACACACACACACACACACACACACACACACACTTGCACACACGTTCGTAGTTCTAGATTAGTGAGAACACTCATCGGCATAATTCCCTAGCCCCTTACCCTCACTTTAACCATCCGAACTAAATAACTAATCCTGACCTAAACCAGATTCTAACCCTAAAACCAAGTCTTAACCCTCAAACAGCCAAAATGTCCTCACTCTAGGAACACACACGTAAACACACATGAACGGATACTGTTTGCACCGTTAAACTCAATAATCCGGTTTTTATCTGCCATATTTATATTTATACTGTTCATTCTGTTCATCCCGCCATATCTGCCATATTTATACTCTTTATATCVTCTAGATTTGCCACTGCCTGTTTATATCTTTTAATTACTCATATTTTTTATATTTCATGTTTAATGTTGTTTGCACCGGGGATTAGAAGGAAACGCTATTTCAATTCTCTGTATGTCCTGCACATATGGCATTATTGATAATAACGTTGACTTGACTTGACTTGATGCTATATAAATATAAATATATATTTTTTCCTCTCTTTATTTTCTGTTAACAAAATACTTTATTATTGTGTACCAGATTTCTTGTGGAAATTGATAGAGAGGACTAAATTAAAGAAACGGACAAAAATAAAACATTTATATAGAATCTGCATTGACCACTACTACGGGATTTTGTTTTCTGCAAGTTTCACAAAGTTCACTTTCATGTCCCAGTCTCAATCGTGTCCAAGTCCCAGTCGTCGTAAAAACGGAGTTCCTTCTCCCTTAGTGATGACCCTTATCAGTAGTGGAGTTTTGATTACCCTTTCTCTATTTTCCCCATTCTCTTTCACACAGATTTATTGTCTACTTTGAAATCAATACTTTGAAGTGATTTAACACTTTTACCCTCTGGAGCAAATTGAAGTGATGCCCTTTGCTGCTGTGCTACAAAGTTTTGATGTACTTCTTCCTAAACTGATATGTGTGGGGCCTTTGAGCTGTATGTTTTCTACTGATAGAGCAGGTTACCACCCACAAGATGACAGTGGCAGATGTGTACTCCGTCAATGGTTCACAAATACATGTCTATACTTCATCCTGCACTGCCACATTCTAGTATATTTTGCAAATTCTTGTGGGAGACTCAAAAGATAGCACACTTTTTTCAGTCAACTCTACTCGTGCAACAACAGCAAGAGCCCTTGCAGAATAAGATATAATCCTTATCACCAAACTCACCCCCATCCCAACACAGTACCTGAATATGTCTGTAAAGAATACCTAGGTCTGAACATTATTTGTCTCACTATAGCTTCACATGTGATAATTTATTAACTACTGTGCCAGAGAGAAGCAGATAACTTCATGCATAATTAAGGACTAAACAAGTTCCTGCCATTAGGATTTTTAACTTAATGTACTACACAACATTTCAAGTTTAAAATCAGTGATCACAATATCTTAATACACTTTTTAAAAATCTCATCTCTTACTTATTTTATTCATTTATTTTTTAAGTTTATTATTATTATTTGTAATATGGTTGATGTTGTAATAGCTAACTGATAATCATAGTGGTTAGACTATTAATTAAATAATAATATTGTAATTTATATTTTTATCTTTTCTCTTACTTATTTTTAAGTGTATTGTTATTATTTTGTAAGATTGTTCCTGTAATATTTTAATTTTAATAACAGTGGTTAGATGATTAGTTTAATAATGATATGTTATATGTAGTCATGGCTTATTTAGTTTATTCGCTGTTTTTTCCTCCACTCCATCAAACTCAACCGTTTAAATAAAACTTTGACTAGGTTTTTTTTCTGACGCGGAGAATTGTGGGATAGCAATGGCTGCCGTCTTGCTTGTTGTAAACACATACGTCGTGTTTTCGAAATCCGCGTTTTGAATCATATTCAGTGACAGACGCAGGTCCTTCGTTTCCTGGACCACTTTTCCTCCATTACCTGAATTTAAATCTTTGTTTTGTCCGGATATTTTCTGTATTTCAGACCCGGAGGACCAGGCGACAGTTCCCCCCGGTTAGCAGCCGGCCTCGGCTCAGCTAACGCTAGCTGCTCCCTGAGGTACGTAAGTGTTTCGTGTCATCTAACAAGACTCATATTAAACCTGTGGAAATATAATGTCTTCATGTTTCTTCATCAGTAATAAACCTATTCTCGCGGAAACGTCTTCACGTTAAACTGTAAAAACGTTGCTGTTGACGCTAAACGAAAAGAAGAGCTTTAATGGAGCCGAGTCCACACTTGTGATCTTTTACCAAGGAATCAGCCAAAGACGAGGATGTTGGTGAAAAAGAATTGAATGAGTTACGAGCCATTAGCTAAGTTATGGGGATTGTTGTTTGTCATGTTGTGTCTATGTATATGAATGTATTATTCTACGTCGCCCCTTTGAGCATTATAGGTCAAATTATTGTTCTGATGGTAGATGAAGACAAAAGCCTAATTTCTTTAATAGGGACTGAGAACATATTGTGGAAATGAATTGTATTGACAAAGAACACGAGCATATTCTTAGTTGTTATTAAAGTGATATTCTAATTTATAATCTTTTTATATGTTCTAAAATGTGAAAGTCTTCACGTAAGCTTCTATAACAGTAAACTGAATATCTGCAGGTTTTGGATTGTTGGTTGAAGAAACCATTTGCAATGCCAACTTTGACGCAGGGGACTTGTGATGGGCTTTTATTACTCTTTATTGACATTGACACATTTTTCAGACATTTAGTATCGTTACATGTTTTCACCTCCTCCACATGTTCTTATTTCTCCACAGATTATGGATGACGATGTGTCTATCCATAGGCTGGAAGGGACTGATCCAACTGCTCAAGTTGGTGGTCTTATAGTAAAGAAGAAGAGTGCTGCAGCAGAGCCCCACGTTTTTCGGGCACCCACCCCACGCACCTCTTTGCTGGGCTTGGATCTGCTGGCAGCCCAGAAACGGAAGGAGCGTGAAAGCAAGGAACAGGCAGATGCAAGTGAAGACAAAAATAGAAAGAAGTCAAAGGTTTCCTCCTACAAGGACTGGGAGGAAGGTAAAAGTGACTCTGGGTCTGATGAAGAAGATGATGATAAGAACAGAAGTGCTAAGAAGGAGAGGTAAGTGTCAGAATAAATACTATTCTTTCTTTCAAAGTTCTTTTTATTGAATTTCGCAATTTACACACACAAACCAAAAACAATGCAATTCCCACCCCACAACGTACATCCCCTACCCCTGCTGTCACCCAGTTGGCCACACTGGCTCCCTGCACATTTTTGAAGTGTATACACAATGACAAACCATCGTAATTTAAGGCACTTAGTGCTGTGGAATGAACTAAAACAATGTAAGAAATATATAAGACATCATTACAGGTCAGACCGAAGCTGCATGTTGTGTGTCAAGGGTCCCAGCCTAGTGATGTCATTATTCATTCCTGTATTTGTGTGAAAGGTTTGTCAAACAATATCCGAGGGGATCTCCACACCTAAACAAATTTCCTTTTGGAACCCCGTAGTGTGTACCTGACTTTTTCAAGCTTCAGGTTAAACAGCACTTCCTTTATCCAGTGGGAGACTGAGGGCAAGACAGCATCCTTCCACCTCAAAAGTATCAGGCGACGAGCCAAGAGGGTTGTGAAAGCTACGACCCTTTGATCCCCATCAGGCAGCTGCATCCCCTCAGGAATAATTCCAAACAGCAACATGAGGGGGTCTGGATCAATTCTAACCATTAATACTATGGAAAGAGCTTCGAAAATAGCTTGCCAATACCCCTCCAGGTTGAGTTAGGGTTAGTATACGTGACTGTAGTAATCTACTAATGTGTAAAATATTATTTTTGACTCCCCAGCAGGAAGTATCGTGTGACTGGCTCTGAGACACCCTCAAACCCCGGAGGGGTCAGTGAAGAGTTCAAACAAAGACACCAGCAGAGAGAGAAAGACAAACGTGAGCATGGAGTCTACGCCTCCTCCAAAGAAGACAAGAACAGAGAAAGAGACAGAGAAAGGAGCAGAGATAAGGGCAGAGACAGAAGGAGTGAAAGAGGTGAGTCTAATTATGAAGCAGTCATGTAACACTGCTTTAGTGCGATTAGACTTTTTTTTACTATATATTAATGATAAACTATAATAAAATGAAACATTACAATAATAAATCACATTTAATGATTATTAGATTTCTTTATTTGTTGTAAAATGGATTGAGTATTTGAAAACATAATTGGAAGGTGAGTCAGCATTGAAAGCTAATGGTATTTACAGCCCTGTTCAGCAGGCAGCATTGTTGAGACTAACCGTACCTTGTCTCTGTCTTTCAGATGAGCGAGAGGGTGGCCATAGTCGTGGAAGCAGCAGTAGCCGGTCAGAGCGCAGTGAGCGCTCGCAGAGAGATGGCTGGTCCGATCGCATCAGCCGGGGAAGTAAAAGAGATGAACCTCTGACACCACAGCATCGTCCAAGAGGTAATTTACCTTAATATTTCTTTTTATCATAATTTCATCATCATTAGTATCTATACAAAACACCATTCTTTACATTGTTAAATTTAATTTCAAACAGATGGTGTCACACCCTCACGCTCAAACTGGGAAGAGGATGACAGTGGTTATGCCAGTTCAAGGCATTCCCAGTGGGAATCTCCATCCCCAGCCCCATCTAACAGAGAGTCTGATCGCTCAGAGCGAAGTCATCGTTCTGGCCGAGAAAGTGAGAGGAGGGACAGGTAAAACATCCATTATCCATTCTGTCTTACATGTTCCTTCCCTTTCCCTCAAAGCCTTAGTTTCATGTGGGAAAAAAAAATGCTACTTGATGCCTACATAGCATGTGTCTGCTATGTGTTTAGGTCTGTCAGAGGACGTTACCCTGATGACACACCCCTGCCTACCCCATCCTATAAGTACAACGAGTGGGCCAATGACAGAAAGCATTTGGGTTCTACACCTCGATTATCACAAGGAAAAGGTACTATACTGAAAACAAGCCATTTATGCTCACATGTAAGATTGGAATACTCTATGTCTGATACCATTACTTAATCTGGTGATATTTCTTCCTCAGGTAGGAAAGAAGATGGTGAAGGAGGATTTATGTTTGATAATGAGGGTGAGAAAGAACAGTGGGAGGACGACCAGAAGGTGAGTGGTGTAGTTGTCCCTCATTTTAGCCTCATTAAAGCTATTTGCTATTTTCTGTTGATAAGGTTTTTTATACAACTCCTATTCATCACTGTTTTGCAGCAAGCTGACAGAGATTGGTACATGATGGATGAAGGCTATGATGAGTTCCACAACCCTTTCACTTCCACATCTGAAGAATATGTGAAGAAAAGAGAACAGATCCTTCAGAAGCAGACACAGAAAAGAATATCTGCCCAGAAGCGACAGATCAATGAGGTACAGTGCTTCATATCAACCTATTCAGAACTGCGTGCCTGCACAGACATATACAAAACTGTGTCTGTGTACTTATTTGTCTTTTGTTTTTTTTTGGTGCTATTGTCTGTGTTAGCATGTCTTTTTAACAAGCTGTATTTCTTTTCTCAGGATAATGAGCGGTGGGAGACCAACCGTATGCTGACCAGTGGTGTGGTGCAAAGGTTGGAGGTGGATGAAGACTTTGAGGAAGACAATGCTGCTAAGGTTCACCTGCTGGTTCACAATCTAGTCCCTCCTTTCCTGGATGGAAGAATAGTCTTCACAAAACAGGTGACCAAGACTAGAATATTTAACAATTATTCATTGTCTTGAACTTGAGTTGTTTGTTTTGTTTTAATGTGTGTGTGTGTTTGCTTGGTCTGTTGCAGCCAGAGCCTGTCATTCCTGTGAAAGATGCTACCTCTGACATGGCCATTATCTCTCGAAAAGGCAGCCAGCTCGTCCGCAAACACCGTGAGCAGAAGGAACGCAAGAAGGTTGGTTGGATTGATAATTACTATTATTTTACTAATTTACAGTACAGTGGCTGTGTGGTCCTGCTCCCGATCAGGTCTTTACATATGTATGTGATGCTGTTTGACCCTGTTTGGGAGGGTCAACACATTATTCAGTAATGCTGTTAGTATGAGAATACTATAAAATGACTATGAACAGTCCTGGATGTCTATAGCTCTCACTGGTTAAAGCATTCGAAAATAACACTGACTCAAATAATTACATCTGGCAGGCTGAATACCCATACATTTTAAATCATACAACAGTATGCAGGTATGATATGTAAAGTATGTTTCAGTAGCAAACATGCACGAACTGACACTGTGAGGGAAATGACACAAGGCCTAGAGAAGGTACCAGTAGTTGTTTAGTTTGGTGAAATGCAAGTTGTTCAAGATTAGTAGAGGAAGTAATAGTATACCTACCAAGTGTTGATAGACAGTTAATATCACTGCTGTTGATGTATTAACTTAAAACCGGTATGTGTTTAAAATTATTATATTTGATGTTTCCATCTTTTTGCAGTGAGATATAAATAACAGACATGATCTTCTCTCTGCTGTTGAGAAATGTTAATGGGGTTCGTTGGTTAACACCTTTCCATTTGATAAAGCAAATGCTGTCTAACTTCATCACAGCTGTAAATAAGTTATGTATGTTTACCTTACCTGGTCGAATGATGACATTTTCACTGCAAACGATCATCAGCAAAGTAAAACAACTTGATAAATGTGACACCAAATGCTTTGTCATCTTTCTGGTTGTTGGATGTGCATGGAAATGCAACCTGAAGCTCCAGTCTTCATAAACACATGATATAATTGGAACAATTTTCTTTTCAGGCACAGCACAAACACTGGGAACTGGCGGGCACCAAGTTGGGAGATATCATGGGGATCAAGAAGAAAGAGGATGAAGATGGAGGCAAAGCAGTAGGCGAAGATGGCAAAGTTGACTATAGGTGAAATTTCAAAATGTATTTTTCATAGTGGATGGGCTTAATTAACAGAAATGTAGAAGGAGATTGTCTGTCCCACCAAATTCATTTTTTCCAATTTGTTTGGTCTGTCTTACAGAGCAGAGCAGAAATTTGCAGACCACATGAAAGATAAGACAGAGGCCAGCAGTGACTTTGCGAAAAAGAAGACTCTTCTGGAGCAGAGACAATACCTTCCTATCTTTGCTGTCAGACAGCAACTTCTTAACATCATTAGGTATTGTTACCCAGAGTGTTCGCATCAAAACTGATCAGTTTTTCTTTGACTGAGTTATAATTTGGACTGTTTACTGTCCATCTGCAGGGACAACAGCATAGTGATTGTTGTTGGGGAAACAGGCAGCGGGAAGACTACTCAGCTGACCCAGTACCTGCATGAGGATGGATACACAAGCTACGGCATGGTGGGATGTACTCAGCCCAGGAGAGTGGCAGCAATGAGTGTGGCCAAGAGAGTCAGCGAGGAGATCGGCACCAACCTGGGAGAAGAGGTGAGAGGAGCTCGAGCAGACAACCAGCTTGCCAAACAAAATGAATGTCCAATATAAATGAATTTGCTTTGGATAGAAAGACAATGTTGTAAAAAAAAAAAAAAAAAAAAATATATATATATATATATATATATATATATATGGAAAAAATCTATTCAGGAGCTCATTTGTAGTTGTAGCTAATTTGGCAACTTTAAAATTTAAGGGAAGTATGATTTATTGATTCTAATTCTAATTTGCTATGTTGAAGATAACATTTAATAAAACATAATTGAATTGTTGCGATCTGGGAACAGACACTACACAAACAATCATGGCAACAGCTTTAATGGTGTGTCTAAACAGTTTCAATATAAAATGTCTAATCATCTAAAATGTAGATAACATCGATTATTTTTTATTAAGTAGTTTCATTAATTTCTGCAGCTAGGCTAGATGCCATGGCTTGTCTGAGGGTCCTTCTGGCACACACTTCATACGAAGTCATATGTGATGTAATAACACCATCTAGTGGACAAAATGAAAACGTAATGCTGGCATGGAGTTTAGTTGGGTCTGAACTGAGAAACATCATTGAAGGGAAACATTGGAGAGACTTAAATATTAGATAAGAGTAGATTAAGTAATAACTTTTATATTTGATTGCATTTTTTTATTTTAAGCTTTGTTGATATTCTTAGTATTTATTGATTAAAACTGTTCCCTGCAGGTGGGCTATGCAATCCGCTTTGAGGACTGTACATCAGAGAAAACTCTGATAAAGTACATGACGGACGGTATCCTGCTCAGAGAGTCACTGAGGGAGTCCGACCTGGACCACTACAGCGCTGTTATCATGGACGAGGCTCATGAGCGCTCCCTGAATACTGATGTACTGTTTGGTTTGTTACGTGAGGTCAGTATACAACTACATTAAAGACCAATCTATTTTGGTTATTTACAGAACAGGCAACTGTGTGTGGCTGTGTGATTCAGTCTATGGTACTCACTTTGTCACTTTTATCCACTGTTTCCTGCCAGGTTGTATCTCGACGTACTGATTTGAAACTCATAGTTACTTCTGCAACTATGGACTCAGACAAGTTTGCAGCATTTTTTGGGAATGTACCAATATTTCATATCCCAGGAAGAACGTTTCCAGTAGACATCTTGTTTAGCAAGGTATGATGATGCTTCCATTTAATTTTTTATTTATTTATTTATTAATTTTTTACATAATACATCTTTAATTTTGTAAATCTGAATTAAAAGTATTGTGTTTGAGTTGTTTTGTTTCGTGTTGGGCTGATTTGTTGTGTTCTGCGATGTGTAGACTCCTCAGGAGGACTATGTGGAGGCAGCAGTGAAACAGGCGCTGCAGATCCACCTCAGTGGGTTGGTGGGAGACATTCTTATTTTTATGCCTGGACAGGAGGATATTGAGGTGAGGGAAATGCTTGATGTTATAGCCAAGTGACTGATTTGAATTTCATGTAGAAAAATAATTTTGTTGTAGATTTCTATGTATGAAGTAATCTGTGTAATCAAGAAAATTAAATCCTTATCTATTCTAAACTATCTCTGTTGACAAGGAACAAGAGGTATTGTCCATTGTGTGTTCTGAACTTATTGAGTATTTTCTTGTCCCTGCAGGTGACCTCAGATCAGATCGTGGAGCGGTTAGAGGACTTGGAGAACGCTCCGCCTCTTGCTGTGCTTCCCATTTACTCCCAGCTGCCGTCTGACCTCCAGGCCAAGATCTTCCAGAAGGTTTTTATCAGTCACTGATAGTAATGTTGTTTTTGTACATGCAAATGGTTTTTCCATTATTTCACACAAAATTCTGCACTTTGTCTTTGAATAATTGTAATGAAGATGAGATAGAGAACATAATCTGCTGGTTTCCTTTCTTTTATTCTGTGTTAGGCTCCAGATGGTGTGAGGAAATGTATTGTTGCAACAAACATTGCTGAGACTTCCCTCACTGTGGATGGAATTATGTTTGTGGTGGATTCAGGATACTGCAAACTTAAGGTACTCCAAAGCCTCAGTCACATTTTAAATGAATTGTAAACTTACCATGCTGCCGTTTATCACAAAACATTTTCTTCTGTGCAATATTTATGCAAACTGACACCATTTATGTTTTTCTGACTTCTTCTGTCAACAGGTTTTCAATCCACGTATTGGAATGGATGCACTACAGGTTTATCCCATCAGCCAGGCTAATGCCAACCAGCGTTCAGGCAGAGCAGGACGTACAGGACCAGGACAGTGTTACAGGTAATAGTCAGGCACTTGTCTGCTGTCAGCATTCACTTACAGGCACAAAGTTTTCCACGTTCAGGTTTCAGCAAAGCTTTTCCTAACCTGAGGTTTTAATTAGAATAAAGAAAGATATTCTTATTTTGTCATTCGTTTTTATGGACTCCTGAGAGCAGTAACAAGTTTTAATACTTTTATGTTTTTATTAGTTAACATTCTTTACACAGCTTTACACCAAGTAGTTACAGTTAAGGTAGTTTAGTAACAAATTGTGTGTGTGTGTGTTGCGTGCTGGTTTTCTCCACTCACATAGAAATTTCCACACACAAAATTGCAGAACGTCCATATACATTCACATTGTTCTTGAGATATAAACTCTTATATTTTACTTAATTAAAATTAACTGATTTTTTTATTGGTTGTTTCAATTTTACTCTTTGTCTTTGTCTTTCTCTGTGCCCTCCTCTCTGTCCAGGCTTTATACTCAGAGTGCTTATAAGAATGAGATGCTGACCACCACCATACCAGAGATCCAGAGGACCAACCTGGCAAACGTTGTCCTGCTGTTGAAGTCTCTGGGCGTTCAGGATTTGCTTCTCTTCCACTTCATGGATCCACCACCGGAGGACAACATGCTCAACTCCATGTACCAGCTCTGGATCTTGGGGGCTCTGGACAACACAGGTGGGTGGTGAACAGGCATATGATGTCATCGTGATACATACATATACAGTGTGTTTTTAGTATGATTGATATTTTAATATGTTTTGAGTTGAAAAACTTTCACAACTAGTTATAACAGCTTTATTTTTGCCATGTCACTCAGAATTAGAATTTCTAGTTTTCAAGCAAAAGTGTGAAGCTTTCCCTAGTTTTTCAAGTTTTTCTGTGTCTAATGTGAGAATAAACTACGCTCAGTGACTAAAACATGCAAGTTGTGAACACCACTGGGGATTTTAGGACATTAATCTGTCCTTTTTTTAACTTTATCCATATCAAATGACATTTTATAGACCTATTTTGGACTCTAATCAGATACTAATGAAAATAATCATGTTAATTAGTTACAGTCCTTAAACTAATTATTTTCCAAGAGTAAGACAAAATTATATTTTTCTATAGAATAACATTTAATACAATTTAAAATAAAGTTTTACATCAGCTCAGTTCAGATAATTTTTATGGCTTCTAATAATGATGATGTTATGGAGGATATTGTGGATTTGAGGCTCGTATTTTCCTCTCAGTGCCGCTCTGAGCTGCTACATTATGCTGCTGACACCACAAACACATCTTGTGTTGTGGATGCTGCAGTGATGCAGACACTGCAAACAGGCCTGAAGGAAGTAGTTTTGAGGTTTAGCCAGTGGAGTAATTGCCTAGTTACTGATCCTGTGTTTGATTTGACTGGTCGGGTCTCATTTCCGTCTCATCCTTAGTCAGATTCCAGGGGATTTAGGGATTTGGGGATAGGGGGGGACTTTTGATGATTCCCTGTATGGTGTGTTAACAGCAGATTATCTCTGATTAAGGCTTACCTGCCCCAAACTGGCTGCTCTGCTTCTCTGCTTTTTCTCCTAATAAGCTTCTTAGACTCTCTCGTCTAATCATTTAAATCAGAACTGGCAAAGTTTTTGATCTCACTCTCTTTTTTTTTTCTATACAAGTATTCTCAACTGTCAGCAGTTCATCCTGCTCTCTCACGGCGATAGACAAATAAGTGTCACATTATACTTGCTTCACTCACACGCCAGCAGGCTTTTGATGGAAAAGAAGCTTATCACTTGGCTTATTCTTGTTCTCTCTATATTTTTCAAGTATCATGCTCCTGTGTGACCTTCCAATTGTGTTCTCTTTTGCCCTTTCAGGCTCTTTGACACCAACGGGTCGTCTGATGGTGGAGTTTCCCCTCGACCCTGCCCTCTCCAAGATGCTTATTGTGTCCTGCGACATGGGCTGCAGTGCTGACATCCTCATCATCGTCTCCATGTTGTCTGTGCCGGCCATCTTCTACAGACCAAAAGTACATCTCATTTGATTACTTTGTGACTGAAATGCTGATACACAACTGAAATAACGTTTGTCCACTTTTTGTAAAGTCCCAGTACAAAATAGATGGGAGGCTGCCAACCTTATTGTTAAATTAAAAAAAAAAAACTAGAGGGTGCTCAGAGGCTGCATACCTCTGCCAAGGGTAACGCCCTGTCTGTGAGAAAATAAATCCTGGATCCGTCTGTTTATCTGGATCCTCTCCAAAATTTAATAGGTTCTTCCGTGGGTCACGTCCCACCCCTCTGCAAAATTTCATGGAAATAGGTTCAGTAGTTTTTGAGTAATCCTGCTGACAGACAAACAAACAGCAATGAAAATATAACCTCCTTGGCTGATTTACATTGTTATGTTAACGTGGCTCTGATCCATACTTATATATTTATAGTGGGGTCATATGAATATGGGGTCACTTGTAGTGATGAACCCATTGAGAATTATGACCTGACTACAGTTTTCCTCAGCTCTATAGCACCTTATAACATTTTTCAGCTGATTATTTTTCAGTTTCCCTGCCCACAAATTGACTGATCTTGTTCAGATCAGGTTTCTCTACTTCAATAACATAGTTTTTGGCTGTTTTCAGTGAGAAATCCCACTGTACACCTTGTGCCCAGCACTAATTAGCAGAACTAGTGTGGTTAGAGAATAGGTCGTTTGTGGAACAGAGGGTGAATAATGGACTTAAATTTGCCAGGTCTGCAAGAGATTGCCTCCATTTCAGTGCTAACATTGTTCCCTATCTGGTGTGCTGAAAAAAAGGTGTTTAAATATGTACCTACATTTAGTTCACAGCCTGTTTCCACCACATTGTCAAAAACAATTGTTTGTTCCATTTTGCTTTGCAGGGTCGTGAGGAGGAGAGTGACCAGGTGAGGGAGAAGTTCTCAGTCCCAGAGAGCGACCACCTCACTTACCTGAATGTGTACATGCAGTGGAAGAACAACAATTACTCCAGCATCTGGTGCAATGACCACTTCATCCACACCAAGGCCATGCGCAAGGTCAGACTCCCACTGCTCACTGAAAACCTGTCGTTCAGTTTGCACTAAATTCCTGCAGGCACATTTCTCAATCTACACTTTGGGTTGTTTTCCCACCTTTAGTCAGATGTTTGAATACATGTATCATACAATCCAGCTCCTTTGAGGCCTGATCAGTACATTTAGTCAGTAATATGGCTTCTGATCATTCATTTTGTGATGCTTAGTGATGTCTTTTCCCCTCAAACATTTGATTTGAGCTTGTTTCTATATTTCTACTTAAACTTCAGTATTTTCGGTTCTGTGCAGGTGCGTGAGGTGCGCTCTCAGTTAAAGGACATCATGGTGCAGCAGAGGATGAACCTGGTTTCCTGTGGCTCAGACTGGGACATAATCAGGAAGTGCATATGTGCTGCTTACTTCCACCAGGCTGCCAAGCTGAAGGTACCGTCTGCTCTGTGGGCTTCCCTCGGTTAATATGTCACGCCCAGCGGCAACTGGTTGTGGCAGCATAATTACAGAGTGGTGAAATATCCTGTCTGGCCTCAGTGCGAAGATCTGGAAGGGAATTTGAAATCATGACAATATAATCAAGGTTCTCAGTTTAACTTATGAGTAGCCAACTAACCCAAGCAATCACATCATATATTCATATAGTCATTTATTTTCCTGCTGCCTCAGCCTGGTGAAGAAGCAAATTAGCCCAGATAATCTGCTTTGCTTCGACCTTAAAGTGTAACCACACAAACACACACACACACACACACACACACACACACACACACTTCTCTACACAGACTCCCTTTGCCTCATCCAGAAATTCTGAGTGGCACATTGAATGTGTTATTTCTGCATGTGTTTGCTCCCAGGGCATTGGTGAATATGTGAACGTGAGGACAGGCATGCCCTGCCACCTCCATCCCACCAGCTCTCTGTTTGGTATGGGCTACACCCCCGATTACATCATCTACCACGAGCTTGTCATGACCACCAAGGTAAGGAATAGGTTCACTAATTAACTTAAACAGCATGAAAACAATTGATGATACATGTGTTGTTAATGTTAAACTTGTGCTTTGTGTTGTAGGAGTACATGCAGTGTGTCACTGCAGTAGATGGAGAGTGGCTGGCAGAAATGGGGCCCATGTTTTACAGTATCAAACATGCAGGGAGAAGCAGACAGGTAAGACGAGACGCTCAACTCCATCCCCACTGAGAATCAAAACAAATAGAAAAGTAAAATGCATTGGACTCAGTATGCAAGCTTTCTGTTTGTGACGATTTTTAATTTATGACAGATTAACACGTATGAAATATAAAAATACAGATTCGTTGTGCAAAGACTGCAGCCAAGTCCTGAAGTCTGGTCGCAGCATATTAATGTCCATCCAGGTTTTAGATGTGATGAAAAATCACAGTTGGATGTCCTCATACTTTTGGTGATTCCTTAAATATACCTTGTGCCTGTATATACTCACACTCTGTAGTGACTAAAAGTGAACTTAATATTTGTCTTATTTATTCCTTTTCTCAGGAGAACCGTCGTCGGGCCAAGGAGGAGATCACCAACATGGAGGAGGAGATGTCCCTGGCTGAGGAGCAGCTGAAAGCGCGCCGAGAGGAGCAGGATAAGAAGAGCAACACCGGCAGCGTTAAGTAAGTCTGCTACCATCTCTCCTCCTTTTGGTTCCTCTCCACACACGGGCTCATCCAACAATAGTCCCCCATGGCCTTCATTTTCCATACACAGATAGAAACGTTTAATTTACCTAGCTCGCTGCCAATCCATAGCTTCTGCCCTCCCCCCTCCCACTCTCTCTCCTCCAACTCTCTCACTCTTCCTGATGAGCTTTTCTCACCTCTGGTCCCTCCAGACGAGACAAAAAGAAATAATATTGACTCCTGGCTGACCCCCATTACTGCAGCAATTTAAATTGTGCCATAGCAGAGTAGGGAACGGAGGAGAACGTTCATTTTCAAATTAGACCAAAAAATTAATTTCACACCCGCCCACAGCTTTACACAGAGAGAGGTAATGTTATAAAGACAGATTTTAAAAAGAACCTTTATAGGTAATTAATCAGCTGGTTTATCTGTCCTGAGTTTGTGTGACGACGCCTGTGACGGTTCTTTTCAAAATGATCGTATACCTGGAGTGTGATTATGAATTAGATTTAAGCAGAGGAAGCTGAACATGTGATAATGAACACTGAAGGCTCTCCTGGGCTCTCGGCTTCCTTTGTCCTGCGGCCTCACAAGCGTTTCCTCTACGAGTTCAGTGCGACCATGATGAAATGTTTTGTTGGCTTCACCTTCATGTGGCGGCTGCTCGTCACCTGTCTGCCTGCCCACTAGCACAGATCAGTGGTGTGATGTGATGTGTGAAACACTAACAGGACTATTTCACTCCTTTAATTTACATAGGGCTGAATATTAAACCTCACCGAACATGTCAAACTTAATTTAGGTTTTTTCTTTGTCTTACATGACTTTCAATTAATTATCTTTGGGGCTGGGACAAAATTCAACATTTCAAATCAAATTTAATTTGCATAGAGCCAAGTCACAACATACCTTATCTCAAGGCACGTACATAATAAGACCAAGAGTTTACAATACAATGTGGAGAGAGTTTATGTTATATGTTATAGACCAATTACACTAAAAGAAATTAGTCTGCAGATTATACTGAACGTTGGCATCAAATTCATCGTCAGATTTGCACAACTCTTTATACAGTTGATAGATTATAATCCCAGTTTATAATTTGTGATTTATTTAGATGTATTTCTCATACAGCTGGAGATAAACATGTTCATACTCCTCAAACAAATATACAAACCAAAAAAAGCTTATTTCGCTCACTACTTACCATTTTAATCCAGCTAAATATGTGTTGATTTATGATGAACATTTTCCCACAACTTCAGACACGTATGACTTAATATTTGTTAAAGGTTACACTGTTGTGTCATAATCCAATGAGCAGGTGTTCATTGTTTTCATATTGTACAGATATTCATGGAAATAAGTGGATTTCTCTAGATTGTATTATAAAATAGGTATAACCTAATGTAAATGGTCTTAAATGCAGATTAGTTAGTAAAAACCAAATCTGGGTTCAAATCCTAGACATGAACTCTTCGTTTCTACATTAGAGCCCGAACCATAAATCATTTGGCAGATGATATAAACATATCAGCGTTTATATAAGTTAATAAGAGACCACATTTATGTTTGTATTTTATATAAATATAATTTTTTTGTTGTATATATTTATTTGTTATCTTTTCATTTATAGTTACATTTATGGTTAAACTTTAAAATATCAAGCATCAATTACATAATAAATCTTAGGAATTATTGACAAATGTATAGTATATTTATGGGTTTGATATATTGGTATCTAACATTTTGTATTTCCTAATATTGGTATCAACATCATTCTCTAAATCTCCACATGTGAGAATCGCTGTCATAAAACAAGTCGACTCCCGAGTATCAGAAACAACAATTTCTCCTGAAGTGAACAGACAGAGGGACACAGTGACAGAAGGGGGTTATGGCCTGATGGCTGTAATTGCTGCAGGTGTGTGTTTGCGTGTGTGAGAGAGAAAGATGGAGAGACGGGGGACGTGTGGGCAGTGTGAGGGTGTCACGCCACTGTAATTAAAGATGATAGATTGTGCTGTCAGAGGCGTCAGGCTCTACGTCCCAACTCTCTTCACAGAGACACCAGCTCGTCTTTTCACTCTTCTCCAGTCCTGCTGCTTCTTTCAGCTGCACAGTCAAGTTTTTACCTGCTCACTGGACCTAACACACCTCCCTATTGTCAGAAGTGTTTAGCATGTGATTTAATGTAAAGATGAGACTGAAAACTTAAGTATATTGTCTCTCAAAACTAAGACTTTCCATCTCTCTGATCCAGGGCGGTGAAAATCTGCACACCGGGAAGAAAAGAGCAGACCCCCATGACACCCAGACGCACCCCCGCCCGCTTTGGACTGTAACATTCCTCCAGGACGTTAAATCGCACCAACCACTTCAGCTCCTGAGAACTCGACATCATCCACACTTGGACGACACCAGCATGAAGAAACACTTTGCTTCCAGCAGCTGTCCGTCCCTCCTAGCATGGCCATAACCACCTGCAGTTCATATACTGACCACTAGAGTGAGAACTTGTATAAGGCACAAGACCCACAGATGAGTCTCTCTCCACCTCCGTCATTCAGCTGTTACCATGATACAATCGTAGGAAGGCTGAATAGTTTTTATATGTGAACATGGCTCAGAAGAGTTTTTACAAATATCTCTTTCATGATTTTAGCTGAAGTGGAAACATTTTGTTTTCTAGATTGGGTTTGTTTTCCATCCTGACCGTATCATCAGTGATAAACAGTGATCATGTAGTTTCAAATTTACCTGTTGTTTTAGTGTGTGTGACATGAAGTGCTCCTCAATGAGACTGAAGCACTATTCAAACTGCACGAGTGTCTTCACACACTGGATCTATATTCAAATACGCACACATCACACTCATGCATGTTTAGGCAGTTGACCTTTTTCTACTTTCAGCTCTGACATCGTGACGTGACACAGTTTTGCTTCATACGAAAGCTCTGCACGCCGGATTAAACACATCAGCTGTTTTATTTTCATGTCCCTCATGTTCAAGGCGGTTTTCTTTGTGCTTTTCCTCTGAATGGTTGTTTGTCATCATCTTTTAAATGTGTGTTTTTGTTGCTTGCCCTCCTCTGATGTCTCAGCTGATCACAAACAGGAAACTGTTTAGTGGAGGCCATGTGTGTTTTTTTCTTCTACATGGACTCTGACAGCTGCAGGACATCCAATGGATTTTTTTTTTGAACATTGTTTGTAAATGAAACAAATTAAAATAAATGTTAGTTTTTTTTTAAGCCGACGTGATTTTATTTATTATTATAGTCACTGTTTGATTTTGTCATTTCAAAGGGTTCGGAATTAGTTTCGCAGCGTGAATGAAGGTGAATAAGTGAAAGTGATGCAGTTTGTTTTAAGTGACACATTGATGGATCTCGTCAGTGAAAAGTCTCTGTTTACATGTATTCTGTTAAAGACTCTTGAGGTGTGCAACAAAACCTTTTCATCATCTATTAATCTATCGTTTACTTATGGATGAGCAGTTTTTCCATAATATTTCCACAAAAAACATGAGTCAAATGACAAATATTCATTAATCAGAGGTTGTGTCTGCAACTGATGATCATTTCCACGATCGATTTAGTGTTTGGTTCAGGAAATGTTCAAAAAACAGCGAAATCACAAACATTTCAAAGCCAAAGGTCACATGTTGAACTTGCTCTAACAGGCCAACAATCAAAGTCAGTTCACAATGAAAAGACAAAGAAAAGCTGCAGCTCCTCACAGTTTATTTTATTTAACACTGACTTCACTGCAGAAACTTAAACTGTTTAACACTTGCTGATTGATTATGAATTGATTGTTTCTGCTCTACATGAAATTTCTTGTTGTTTGATGGACAATTAAAGCCTTAAAAAACTCCACTTACAACCCTATAATAAAGAGAAGCTGAAATCACATGTGGTACTTTTGTTTGACAATAACTCAAACAATAGATTCTGAAAATATTTGAATAATCTTGTGTAAAGTGCTTCTACTAATTATCAAAATCTAAAGATAGGTTAACATCATGTGACGAAAAGCAGATCTTAACATGTTGCAGTGCAGTCAGGTGATGTATAACTTGACAGAAACTGTCAAAAATACATAGTAGCTAAGAATCGTACACATTAAATCTAGGAAACATGAACAGGACATGATTATTCAGTTGGGAAAACCTCCACACTACGTTTACTGTACGAACTGTGACACGTGATGAGCTTGTTCTAACGACTTACTGAAGGTCACAGGCCTCGGTCACACAAACAAAGCGAACGCGGCGACATCATGGAATCCTCAGAACAGTTGTTTTCATTGTCAACCTCACAATCGTGAACGTGATCAGAGGGAAACACGAGCTGGGGTCCGCCCCCCCCCCCTCGCACCCACAGATGTCACACATCTACATGAGTGATCCTGTGGCTTTGAAAGCCCTCAGCTGTGAAGATGTTGATGTGCTTTAGACGAGGCTCCGTGTGTGTGGGTGGATCCCGGCTCTGGCTTTATTGTAGCTCTATGTAAATCTTCAGGTCACGAGACTGTTGAACAAAAGCCTGGATGATGTTGCCGTGCCCTCGCCACGGTTACGCTGACATTTCTTCACGTCTCTCGACTGAAACTAGTCTCACTGGCTGCCGTCAATTTGGAGGAGGAAAGACTGAAGTGATTTACCGTGGAGCGACTGCCAGTGTTTTCCTCTCTTGTTGGTCAGCCGTCGTCTGTCTCACTGTCGCCCTCATGCAAATAAGCGTGATTATGAGCGCTCCCTTGACCCCCTCAATTCCCCGACTCGCCTTGATTGAGTGTGGCAGGCGGAGGAGGGGACGGATATAATGGACTCCACCAACTTTAATGAGACAAATCTCGGCGACGGGCTGACATTTTGAAATAGTCCTTGTGAATGACAGTGTCAGCAGTCACCTTTACCAAAGCTTTCCAGGGAAGGTCCCTGTAATGATGGAGGGAATTAAAATGGCCTCCGAGGCGGTAAAGACGGGAGCCGCAGGATTAGGGTGCAAAGCCACGCCTCTTAAATGGGCTCTGCTGCCACACCCCAAAATAAAGACCTGGCCATTTTTTATTAGAGAGCAGCTCTGCGGCGACCACATATCGTCGCCCTGAGACTTCTGGGATTACAGTGACTGGTGGTTGTTGACCACATGTGAGATTTGTGGAGATGCGGCGTCCCTCACATTACCGCCCCCCCCTTGTTTCTGTGTCCGGTGGCAGACAGGCACAAGCTCTGCTGTCATTACAAACTTAATAAGAGCAGAAGTGAGATTGATGAGAAAAACAGGAGCATCAACTCCTCTTTTAATTAACTCTTGTCCCATAATGGTGCCAGGACGGAGGCACCGAGCAAAGAATGAGACGTTTTCATTCGCTTTCTCTCCCTTTCTGTTTTGTTGCCTCGCTCACCCCCGATAATGAACAGCCTTCTGGGACCCAATTACATCCAAGGCTGCATTAGGAGCACAGCAGGCCCAGTGGAAACTTCAGCTGAGTTTCCCCTCATCTTCCCCCCTCCACTCCCTGTTCCTCTGCTGGAGATGGCCTTCACTTGATTGAATTTAGAATAACCCCCCCCACCCCCCAAAAAAAACATACACACGCCCTCGTCTTCTGTTACCTTCACCACTTCTGAACCCACATGTGGTTTATGATGGGAGCAGGAAGCCTGTGTGTGCTTGTTGTTCACTGTCCTTCACTTGTTAACCGCGCACGCTGATAAAGTGGCTTTGTGTACGATGTGTAATAGCTGCCGTGGATTGGTGCACTTAAAGCCTGTTTGTGTCCCCGCTCCATGAAGAGCATGTGCAGGGGGGGGGGTTACACTAAATAAATTCAGAAATCCTGAAAATGTACCGATTTTGTGTTTTAATATTATCCCTTCTGCTAAGGAGGAGGTTTGTTAGCGTCTTTACACAAAAACTACAGGATGGACCATGAAACTCTGTGGACGGATGTGGTTCAGGATTTTTCTTCACTTTGTGAGATCTGGTGTTTTTTGTTTTTTTTTGTTCTGTTTTCGAATAATTCCTGGATCTTGACGCAGAAAATCTGTTACATCAAGGGAACTGATATTTATGAGTGCGTCATTTGGATTTGATTGAATATAAAGGTGATACGTGCTCGAAAGCTATTTTGGTTATATTTTTTAAATCAATCAACTTTTTCATAATTTCTTTCTCAAGAAGAAAAAGACTCAACTGGTGAAAATACAAAAATCTACATTTTTTTTAAATATGAAAACAGGTTTAATATTTACAATGTTAGTTTAGTGTATTAGTACATGAACAAGTATCGGTTATTTATTCTTTGGTAGTGAATCAATTCAATGGTTGAGAAACTCTGAAAAAAACCTAAATTTAAACCTCATGGTGGCGTTAAAAACGAGGACGAGTTTTCATTACCTTCTTCATTACACGAAAACTATGCAACTGATTTCAATGAAATTCTATGGATCTGGATCAGGGAGTGGATCCAAAAATATATTTTCACTTTCTTTAACATTGATTGACTGTTTTTCCATGTTTTCACCAATTCCTCAGAGAATAAGTCATGGACCTTGATTAAAAAAACACTGATCATCAGGAGCCATTTGGTGCAGATCCGAATAACAATCTGGATCTCGTGGTTTTAAATGTGGTTTCAGTAGGTGACTGCTGGTGTGAGCTCATTCTAGTAAGGATTCATCCTCTGGGGACCATGCATGTCGTGAAGATTTCATGGTAATCCACAATATTTCACCACAAACCCTGCTATAGAATCACACCATGAGGTAGACTTTCCTCAGACTGTCACACTGTATTTGTAAAGAAACTGATTATATAATATTTGTATTTTTGGCGTTACATTCCTGCTATTCAAACACACTTCGGGGTCGGCAAAGCATTTTATTGCCTCTAAATGCAATGCTTGGGGATATGTGAGGCATTAATAACAATTATTGGTGTTCTTTAGCTTCCTCAGACACCTTAAGTGTTGTGTATTGACTGCTATGCTAGAAAGAATGTTGCCTATTGATTTGGCTAAGGCAGAAAGCGGTGGTGTCTTCTTCCTGTAAGGTGGGAATTAATCCTTCCATGCTGCCAGTGAGTGAATAACTTACAACGCAGCAGCAGAGGAGCCAACTCCAGCTCATGGTGCGTCCTCACCAATGAACGTTAAAAAAGTCAAAGATGGGCACAAACACTGGAACGACGGTACGCTGCAGGAATGTAACATGTATTGGAGAAGGTGAGGATCAATACGTCTGCAACTGAAAGAAATGCTTTGGATATTTCCTATACCGCTGAAAATCTTTTTTTTCCTTTTCAACATTTTAACATAAAACTGTGGTTTCTTAATATTTTAGGATAGTAAGTGAACTTTTCCTTTGATCTTCATTCTGTAAAACTGCGATTTTACACTCAAAACCACCGATATCCTTTACTTCTGTGGAGAAATGTAAGAAATGTAAGAGCGGTGCAGAATCCAGTAATGTTTTCCACTGCTCCATTGTCTTATCCCTAACCAACACTTTGTGTATTCTGCACTAGCGTGCTTGGTCTACCTCCCTGTGGACCGTATGGTTACTAACAGCTCATCCACTATTGCTTAGGGGTCTTATTTTGTTCTAGAAGAAAGACTTTATACTGTCAAACTCAGACATCCCATGTGATTGAAGGCCGGTGGGCATGGAACTCTCAGAGCTGCCCTCAAAGCTGCAACAATGCCTGCGTTCACACAGCCAACTTGTGGTGGGTGGAGTGGAAGAACAAAGACGAGCTTGTTAGGATTTAGATGCCTTTATTATTCTTATATTTGGCTGCGATTTTTTGTCTGTGTGCCCATATTCATTAAGACTTTGGCTACACTGGCTTGTGGGGGTCCATGAGTCTACGACTAGTAACTGTGACGCAAAACAAAACACAAGTTTCGCTTTTCTTTTGCAGTAATGAATGTAGAGAACTTAATCATAAAAAATACATGGATATTTCTGTGCCCTCATTTATTCAATTTACCAAAATTTCATGAAATCTGGGATAAAAAATTCAGCCTACAGATACATTTTCTGATTGTTTGTCAATCAAATTACATAAATATTTTTTAAGCACAACAGTGATGTCCGTCCATCTCAAGAAGCTTTTAACACAATCATTTATTACTTGGATGAAATGTTTTCACCCCTGTTGGTTTGTTTGTAAGGAAGATTACACAAAAACTATTGAACAGGTTTTCATGAAACCTGGTGGAATGGATCAGGGAG